CATGTGCTGAGCTTTCGTCCGTCATATGACGAACATCATCAGAGCGAGGCAACATCGGCACAACAAAATTCAGGCTTTCGAGTCAAGAAAACCAAATCAGTTTATACATGATCAAAGAGGCCAGATGTAGAGTATATGTACCACTTTTTAGGGATTTGCCGGTGAGTCTTCTTGACTCGCAAGCCTGAATTTTGTTGTGACGATGTTGCCTCGCTCTGATGATGTCCGTCATATGACGGACGAAAGCTCAGCATGTGTTCACCGGAATCGAAGGGGATTGCCTCGGAAACAGCGTCAGCATGAATCTCCCAGTAAAGCCAATCGACAGCTGGCCAAGAGGAATTTGCCGTTGTCTTCTGGTGGAATCGACCTTATAATCTCTTTACCCAACACTTCCACTCGAAATGGAAGTAATCCCAACAATTATGAAACAAGAGATTCCTCGAAATCCAACTTTTCTTCGTATATGGATATATTGATCCTGAACTTTTCATAATTGCTTTTATTATTCGTATTGGAGTAGAGTTTTGAGACTACCAGTAAATCAGTAATATGCGAGGTATTCACCCTATTTCGTTTAAGGAGATGAATTTTCCAATAATGATATGAGTGAATTTCACATTGACTTGCTTTCCCAAAAGTTGTTCTCAGCCAGGTTGGACTGCAGTTTCGACCTCGCATCGGTCTTATCAACACCCCTAACGGGAGTCGAACCATGTGGTCAAATGGTTAACGGGTCAAGCTCCGAATTCTGCACTGTCACGGTTCGACTCCCGCTGGGGGTGTTGATAAGACCTATGCGATGTCGAGACTGCAGACCACTTCTGTCTGGATGAGAACAACTTTTGGGAATGCAGGGCAATGTGAAATTCAATGGAAGCGTCAGCTCCACTCAAATCATTGTGGGGAAATTCTACTACCAGTCCTTCATGTTGTTGTTATTATTGCTGGAATAACTATGCAATGCACCTAATCTACCAGGATGCACCTGACTTAAACAATTAGATTTTCTATTAATCTATCTATATCATTATTAACAATATTATTGTTAGTATGCATATAAAAGATTATGGTTAATGTTCATAATAATATTATTAATATATTAGTCACATATCATATTCTGTGCTAAGTGAACCTGTAGTCATCACTTTTATGGCCAATTAGCCGTCACAGATCAGGGAGTATATTTCTATAAGTTGTGTCTCTTTTGAGGCTGCGTAACCAACGAATGGGCTTAACATTATCCCAAAATTTCTCCTTTTCAAGTAGGTCACTTTGGTGGCACGTGGGCACGGCATATTTATGTCGCCAGAGACCGATCGTCCTCTGTCAGAAGTACTGTCAAACAGTTGCTGTAATTTGTTATCCCGCCTGTTTGGTTTTGTTTAATTCTACCGTTCGCCAACTGTTTGCCCATTTTTCCCCTTAAAATAACGAGTTCAACAACACCCATGAACAAGTGGATGATAAAAAGGTGACCAGATTTGCAGATGCACGAAGGGATTGAAAGGCAGAAGAATAGTTAATGCGCTTGTTTCACTACCAACCAAAGATTGACGCAATTGTCTGTACAGCATTGCTTGTTTCTATCAGGCAAGCGCTGCTGTTGTCAACCCAAGATAATGATGATAATGCCTTTTTTCGATGATACTGACACCCACTGTTATGTTAGGCTCACTGAGACTGTTTCTATTCATCCTGGACATGATCGAGTTGTCTTTTATTGCGTCTCGTAGCCACCATTTCACGGCCAACAAACATGACTTGACCGCGACACCGACAGCGGTACCGGAGCGACGCTAGGACAGCCAATCGGGGTGCCGACGTGTCGCGTGGAGACGATGAATGTTCAAGCCCTGGCAAAGGAGTACACATTTGCCCATTAACACATACAGCCTAAACTGCACCCCACAGCGAGACACACTCGCCGGCACAGCTGTACACACGAATGTAGCTGTATCCGGCCTGCCAAGTGTGCCGAAAGGTATCGGTTAATGGTCAGTCTGTTAGTGTGCTATTCTTGCATTCCCATTGGTCAATAGAACTGGGCATGGAGAAACGTCAGCATTGCAGGTGTGATGTGATTGGTGGAAGTGATTGGCTTGCCCAGTGCTGATATTTCAGCCCAGACGATCGCAGGGAGAGCCGTCCTCATGGACCGAGCCCAGAAAGCAGAAATGCCATTAAGACGATGCTTTGGCCCACTTGAATCGCCATAGCGCCGGATGATTGCCTAATTCTCACCCAATTCTGGTCGACTTTCCTTGTCTGCTTGTGTGGTGTGTTTATCGTCGTCAGGATTTTTAACTCAACCCATCACTTGCCCCCAGCCTGGCATCACATGGACTGTGCTTGAGCCCAATTGCGGAGTCTACCGACAATGTCTGGAGGAGTGAAGCGGATCTCACGACTCTTGACCGCCCTCTTCTTCGCCCTCTTCGAGTACTCGGGTAGGCCTGCTGATTGGAAGAGCCTTTTTTCCCTTTCACTTACCCTTTCATCACTAGGGCCAACCAAACTTAGAGCAGATCGATCGGCTTCTTTACACTCATTCCCTTTTCTATCTCTCTCTCTCTCTTGTGGATGAGCTGATGACGAAGTGTACCAGTTGCATAATCCTCTGCTACAGCAATGCTGTACCAGGAGCCAATTAGCCAACCGATGAGCTCCCAGGTCCAAGTAGTTGTTAGTGCCAACCAGACCCTGTTAGTGCCGTTAGACATGCCGATTTCGGGTTTCTTTCACTTGTTGCCAGGACAACCCGGACGAATGCATCTTGTACGAACTGGTCTTACGGAGCAGTCTGATACATGCTCACACGTGTCAGTCTTGTCTGGTCAAGGAGACGAATGAAGTCCATCTATTGGCCAACTTTCTGATGCTCCGTTACGTCCATTTGGCTTCGCCATCGAAGCTTCTAACTTGTCTATTTCCCGATGCTCTGGAGGTGTGCTGGAAATTTAGTTCCAATTTGACTCTCTCCTTCTGGATCTGCAACATGTTTCTATTATCCTTCGTGCTCGAACTGGTCGAGGCGTTATTTTTGATTATCTTCTGCCAACGTTTGATGACAAATGCCCACAGCCTGGATTCTCAAGCTGAAGAAAAGTCCAAGTAAACACTGTATTTACTCCGATCTTAATTCCACCAATGCACAGGGTAATTCTCGTGTTCAGTTCTAACCACTTTTGTGCGCAAATCGATCTATTGTGATCCAACTATTTCTGATCACATACGCATCGCTCGAATGGACGTCATGTAGAATCAGCCTTACTTCTGCGTGTCAACCTCCCAAAGTGTTTGCACATGATTCACTGTCAATGTCTAAGCTTGATTTGCTGTCGTTGCCTCTTTCTTGTGGCTCTTTTTATTCCTCTTCAAACTACTTCATTGAGCAGCTGTTCGTCACCGTTTTTACGAATCTTTCTGATTTCTGATCTCCTGCAAATCGGCCTCAATAATACGTTCATTCTCCTCTTAATTGGGCAAACTAGGAGGAGATCAGAAATCAACATGATCAGTAAAAAAGCGACGACTACACAACAAGGAAGAGTCGAAAATCGAACGAAGACGCCTACATAAAGTCTTGCTTAATCCAGCAAGCAACCATAACATTTTGGAAATTCAGCTCACAACCAACTATGGCATATAATAATAATCAAAGATTTGGCATTAAAGTTAGAAGAATGAGACCAATTCGACCCGAACTCCACTCCACAGATGCGTCGGAGACCAGACATAATCGGCTCACAGTGTATGAGTGATCACGAAAGTGATCCGTCATTTAAAGGCATGACTACGAGATTTACCCAGTGCACAAGACGAATTGATATCGGTGGAAATGCAGTGCTAACTTATGCAAATAAATGTAGGGTTTAGAGGAATATCTTGTTTCGTAATTGTTGTGCTTATTTCCATATCGAGTGAAAGTGTTTGGTGAGTTTGCTTGACTCGTTAGCCTGACTTTGGCTGTGAAGATGATACCTTACTCTGATGATGTTCGTCACATGACGGATGAAAGCTTTGCATCGTTCCACTGAAATCGAAGAAGATTACCTCGGCATGAATGCTACAGTAAAGCCAAATGATGGCTGGTCAAGAGGAATCCGCCGTCGTCGAATCTTTTCATCAAACACTTTTACTCTAAATTGAAGTAAGCATGACAATGCTAACTTAGTCTTTTCTACAGCTTGAGAATCCAGGCGTTGAGTTTTTGTTATAAAACATTTTTAGACAGACGATGGGAAATAAAGCCTCAATTGACACAGATTCGGCGGTAGCAATCGAGCGGAATTAATGAACTGAGGTGATAATAAACGCATTTGACAGGACTAGAAGGATACTCTGATAGGATATAAATGAAGTAGCTCAAAAACAGAAAGTGCCAAATTGAACCAATACTTTCAGCACTTTCGGACGAAGAATGGAGGAGCCGATGTTGAGTGTGAATGGGCCCCACGAAACCCTCTCAAAAGGGCGCACCTATGGAATATGTGAAAATACGTAAGTTAGAAGTTGTGGAAGTAACAAAGGCAATAAAAGGATATGGGGTAAGTGAATGTACCATAGTACAGCTTTTTTAGCAGAAAGCTGGGCTTTAAAGCTAAGAATAGCCCCGATTAGGATGCCCACGAAGCGCCTGAGAATGTACCAAGTTGACGATCAGACGCAGGAAATGATTACGGCCCTTCTGACAGATAAACCCAGACGACTTGACTCCAACTAGGCTACTTTGACAGCACGATTTTATAGAAATTTATGCTTTATAGGCGCTCATGTCAACCATTGTTGAGCTTACTTCTATTTCGAGTGGAAGTGTTGGATGAGGAGATTAGAAGGTCGGTTCCACCAGAAGACGACGGCGGATTCCTCTTGACCAGCTGTCGATTGGCTTTAC